CTCGAGTGCTCGTTCGACGACGAGGTGGAAAAAAAGAGAGAGAGAGAGAGAGAACGAGGAGTACGAGACAGGTGAAATTCGTGGATATTAAATTCTGGCCAAATATATAAAGAAAAAGAAGAAAAAAAAGAAAAAGAGGAAGCACACGCGAGCGTGCACGCAGACAGACGTTCCTCGCGAGTATTAAAAGATGTTACGGTCGTTGATCTGTGATACTACCGCGAGCGTATTACATTTGTTCTCCACCCACGACATACATGTCGACGTTCCTTGTAAAATTTTATTCCGCTGTAGAACGTTTAACTTTCTTTCGAATCGATTTCACCGGGATATTATTGAATCTTCTACTTACTACCCCTTTACGAGCAGCATATATCAGTTTCGTTTCTTTTTTTAAAAGGAGAATCGTTGAAAATGTTCAATTTTGGTAGCGAACGAGGGGAAGAAAAATTCTTTCGCAGCATTAATCTGTTCGCGGTCTGACAAGATTTCATGACATAAAAGTATCACGATATAGCACGTATGATACATCAATTTAAAGCTTAGACTTTCCTGAACACGACTACATAAACGTTGCGTTGATATTTTTAATATGGAAAAAATGGTAGTCACTTGAAACGAACGATAGGGTTCTGTCGAGTTGATTTCGAAACGTAAAGAGTCTAACGCGATTTCATGACATAAAAGTATTTGGAAATGACACTTATATTATACCAATTTGAAGTTTAAAGTTTCGACGATGGAATACAAATCACAATTGGACGGTAAAAAGTATGTAATAATGTTCGGATGTTCTTCAAGTTGGAAAGTATTTGTAGTTGAAATTAGCGTCTAGATTTTACGTGCTTGGCTAAATGTCAGCCCTTAATTAATTTTCTGTGCTCAGTCTTAATTAATCCATGCGATTGAAAGGAAATGCGAAATCAAAGCGGAGCAGCGTAGAAGTTGTTTATTGAATTCGTAGGTCGGTACTGCGGTTAAATGCGACGGAATGTTTAAACTCGCGGAAGTGAATTAAGAGTATCGTGTAACCGAACGAAGTTTCAGGGTTTCAAGAAATTAGGAAAGTTTGCACCGCGAATACCCTCAACACTTCCTTCTCGTCCCTCGTCGTGTCATCGAATACGGCAGATATTGCGGTTCAATGCTTACAAATAAGGCTGGCACCGGGCCAATAAAATTCTCCTTGTTGCCTTCGCCGAGCGAAGAAAACGCGGACAAATATTAACATGCAAAATAAATCTTCTGAATGACTACGCTGAATAATTCCAGATACCAGCAAAACTTGTATACCGACGGTTGAAAGCAACAAACTTATCCATGACGAAAAGGAATAATTTTCAAAAATAAGAATATTTTGTACCCTAGGGCTCTGAGAAAAAAAGAATAAAGAAGAAAGAAAATCTATGTCTTTGACAGAAATATTGAATCTAAAATTCTGATAAAATTTCTAAAAAGAATATTTGAATATTCTGGAAACTGTACCTGTTTGCTAAGAATACGAAATACTGAACGAATATTTGTTTCTAATTTTATTCAGTATTTGCTTTCAATTAAAGCAGATACATATGTATGTGTATATGGTGCTTGTGTGAATATCAAGAGATAAAAATAAGAAAGAAAAAGTAAAGGGTGGAAGGACATAGGTAAAAAATGCAAATTACGAAGGAATCTGAAAAGTCTAACTAGAACGCAAACGTTTCATCACTATGCAAAGTTTGAAGTTCAGCTTTATAGGAAATTTATCCTACTATGCATCCATGGTTATGTACATATTGTAATGAAACAGGCAAATTGAGATTCGGCAAATTTGTACCAACTAATCAGCGACCAAAGATCTTTTTATTAATCATCAAACATTAAAATAATTAAATAATAATTGCGATATAATTTATTTTCGCGGAAATTGATTAAAGCTTCTCAAAGTTGGCTGTAATATTTGAAACGTTTCAATGAAGCAATAATGCAACGTAATATGTAACCATGGTTTTCTGTAAACATTTATTGATTCGACGTTAATAAATATTCCTTTCGTAAATATTCAATTGTTTTTCTTTTTATTTTTATTCCAATTTGACTACCATGATATTTGATACATTTACAATTAAAAAGCAAATAAACGATGGGTTTCAGGTTTGTTATATTAAATTACAGAATGATAGAAATTTACGATTTAAAAAATAAAAAAAATCTACCACTCCTCCGAAGGTCAATCAAATTTTTACGTACCAGTAAAGGAAAAAAAGACACATCTTTATTACTTTTAAGAACTAAAAGGAGGATGAAGTCGTTACTTTCGGAACTATTTCACGGGAAAACGTGTCACGAACGAACGAGAACGGAAACATTTCTGACAACTTCATTTGTGTGAAAAAAAAAAAGACGAAAAAGTTAAAGGGGGTGGGTGGTGGGGGTGGCTTTTGGCGAACATGCTATTTAGTACGGTTAAAGTTATTTACGGGTTAGCCCTGTATTTACCAACCAGCCAGCAATTCCAGAAACTCTTATTTTCCGCGCACATACGAAACGTTCCACTTGACTACAGCACAGCAGCTCGCGTTACATTCAACCGCAACCCAATCGCTTTCAGAGAAAATCGCAAAATGATTTTTTTTTTTTCTCTTTCCCTTTTTGGAACTCGTTTCAATGCACTTTCTTAACTGTAGATTGCTTCTATCCACCAAACGACTGGCACTGTGGCCTGGAAATCCATTAAGTTTATAAACGCTTTATATTTCTGAATTAGAAAATAAATTTCAGATAAATAGATTCGTCGAGGCGTTCAACTAGTCGTACTTGAATTAAAAATAAATATACTCAGTTGCATTATTTTTACTATCGCAAGAATACTACATTAAAATAATATTATTTTAAATATTTTCTATTTAAAGTATCGCTTTATTCGAACCGTAGAGAATCTATTTCTGAATTCTTCGATCCAAGTAGAAACATCAATACATAATCAGACACGAGATAAAATTATCGAAGAGGTTCGAATCCAACTAAATATTTTTGTCAGATCTGACGATGATATAAAAGTTGAAAACAAGAAAGTTTGTCGAACGGTTTTGTACGCATGAGAAAGTCGGCAAACACGTCTAAAGAGGAATCTACAGGTGCGCGCTAACAAAATCCTTTGTGCGATTCTCTTCCCTTCCTGCCGTTGTCATTTCAACCCCGAAGGGTGAATCTATACTGCTGCTATTTATTCGAGTCTCACAATCGAGACCATGGTACGTACGTTCCCCTTTCGCTGATATCCTCCAAAATTGGCAAGATAATCTGAATCCACGTTGAAATTTTCCACGACACCCATTTTCTGCCTTTCCTTTATCGGAATATTTATACCCCATAAAGAGGCACGCTTGTTTCCACATTCTCGTTTCGCCTCCTTTTCCCCGGCATTTCACGAATACTTAATTGCAACAACGCTACTAATGGTGATAACAACAGTTATCGTAATAATAACCGCAATCAAGAGTTACGCTGAATTGAATGGAAACTAACGCTAATTACATGTATACGCGTTCCATGAAAATTAACTAGATTTTTATGTTCATTCACTAGCCTTCTGTCCGATAAAATATATTTTGTAATTTATCCGGTTCGTTGATCAAATATAACGATGTAGTTATCGTACAGCTGCGCTGTCTGCTATTTTCTTTACAGAAAAATTGATGTTATCCTTGCACTACTATTTTGTTTTATTAAATAAATTCGAGAATTAGATGTATAATTAGTGGACTGGAGATATTTATATGTTTATGGCGTACCGTGCAAGATATATGTACAGAGGACGTACGAGAAAATGGAATTAATTATTTATAATTTGTAAAACATACGTTTGCATAAAAATCTGTAGTCTGAATAATTAAAAACCGAGACCGTTATGAATATAGTCATTCTACAAATGAAAAAATATATACTCATTTAGATAATTAATAATTAATTATGTACACCAGATGCTACTAATGCTGAAGAATGAATTGATGAAGAAAGATATAACTGCAGGTAATGAGAATGAAATGAAATTTCAGCTCTTTTAGTAAAAGCAATTAAAATTAATTCTTCTACTAAAAACCGTATAGAATATTGATAAATTAAATGAATAACCAGAATTCTATATTGATTGAAAAATAATATCTGTTATACCTATTAACGCTATCTGATGTCGTTCCTGGTTATATTACATCGACTTTAATCGGGTTTGTGGTTAATCGATTTTAAAGTTATTTCGACTTATTTATTTCCCATTATTAACTATTGATACTGAACTATACATCGTTTCATTAAAAGAAAATACAATACCAGTTTCTTTCATTTCTCATCAATGGAAATAATTATGTCACAGTCAGAAACGGTTTGAAACGTGTCCTTTTTAGAAATATCCGAATTTCCTTATTTAAGAAGTATTCACGGAAGATTGGTCCTGTTCCTTTCTAAAAACAATCTATTTCCGTTTCATTTGCATGAGAATTCATTGATCGAAGACAATAGTTTAAACCCATCGAAAATTCCAAGCGCATTTGCATGCACAGGGTGTCTCGGTAATCGTGGTACAGTAGGAAAGGATTGTTTCCTCTTGAGAATATATCAATTGAGAATAGCAATCATTATTATTAATTATTGAAAACGAAACGAAATGAATGAATTTTTGATTTATTTTTTCAAGAGGAATCAGTCCCATCCAAGTGATACTACGATTACTGGAATACCCAGTATATTTAGTAATAGCAAATTCTGTTAGATGAGAAGATTTCCCAATCAGATTTTAGATCTTTGCTTTCGATCTTGCCTCTGAACGTTGCTGCTATAAAATTATCCGTTCGCAAGGGAAAAGGGAGCAAGTGAATCCGGTCACGTAGCGATTTCATTTAAGAGAATCTTGTATTTAAAATCGTCACGCCTTCCCTTACTCATTTACTCAGAAATTGGCAGAACACACTAGAAATCGTTGGTACGCATACATAACAGGCACGTGACTAAATTCTTTTCCTCTCTTTATTTTTTTTTTTTTTTCTTTTACCTCCTTACCCCTCACTATGATAGCGTGCCTCGCTTCGTGCTCCCCTTTCGCAATTTTTCTCTGTTGAATTGCAACGACGGCAACAGGTGAAACGGGATATGACGTATACTCAATGTCGAGCAATTAAAAAAAAAATTCTTCGTCAAGAGATCAGACATTTTTCAACCGATTCTATCGTATTAAAAAGATAATTACTCGAATCTTTCGTTAATATAAATCTCTTCCATTAGCAGAAATTGATTATTTCAAGTGTGATCAATTGTATCAATGCAGCAGTGAATTTTTATCTGACATTCGACGATGGATTTATTCGTCATGAATTTTATGACAAAAATATTGTGAAATAGCGCTTACGGCATATCAATTTGAAGCTCAAAGTTTGTTGTTTAAATTGACATAGTAGAAGTGCTATTTTACGACGCTTTCATGTCATCGAATCGTGTTTGACTTTTGATGTTTCGAAATTGCACGCTCACCCTTCTGACGCGTTGCAATGAAAAATATGCAATCCTATGAAATAGAATAAAAGTGCGTTTGGACTTCCCTGAAATGTCTTCCAAAAAATTATACCGAAATACCATTTAAATAAAATAGAATCTTTTATCATGAAACAATTAAATTTTTTTCTAATTCGATCGTAAAGAATGATCGAAATTATCGAATCTTTTCCTTCGGATACGATAGTATCATTCTATCATCGATTGGAAAGTGATTCGTCTAGAGCTAATTGTTCGGGGGTTTCATGGGACAGGAAATCTATCGTCTATTCGGTTTTCTACAACCCCCATATTCATATTCCACCTTGAGATCCGATCTCATTTCGAGCAGAAGATACGTAGCTACGGCAGGCTGCAGCTCGCGAGGGAAAAAATCGATCGAGGTCGGAAACAAGGAATTCCCGGAAGGGGATTTCCTTCTGCTCCACCGACCTGAACCTTTCTCACCCTCTCTCGTGTCATCCCCGTTTTCTCTTCCTTTCCTTCTTAGTCAACAGCTATCGTACGAGTGTCCCCCCTTTTTATTCTTCCTTCGCGTTTCAAAAAAAAAAAAAAAGAAAAAACAAAGAAAAAGAAGAAAGGGGTTGAAACGCGTGATGGGTACCAGGGGGTTGTATCGATGATTAGCCTTCAAGCTATCAAAGTACTTTTTTGAAACCATCAACGAAGGCTTATTTCGTACCTCATAAATTACTCCTTGTTAATTAGTTAAATGAAAAAATAATTAATTTTGTTATATACAACACTTGGAAAAGAACATTAATTCTTTGAACGGAGTTTGTTTCACGGTACTTTTAGCAAGAAACGAGATGATCTAGAGGGTGGGGGGACGAAGAGGTAGGAATGATCGAAAGGTGAAAATTGCGAAACGTCGAGGGGATGATTGATTATTTTTCTTCGGTTATACGGCAGCAGGTGAAACAGGAAAAAGTAGAAGAAGAAGAAACGGGGAAGGTATATTATTATTTGATCTGTTCAAGTGTGTCAGAGAAAATGTCTTGTGGATAAATATACGTCTAAAATAACAACGACCATATCTTCCCAGAGGGTTAAAGAGGGGCGCGCGAAATACTTATAGTATATCTGTTGTCAAGAGACCGAAGTTAATTGCAATATCATTATGAAAATCGACGACGCGAAACGTTTGGCCCAGTTTCCATCGACACGATAACCCTGTATAATACCTGTAATACATTTGACCGAATTTACGTAAGATAAAAGTGTATTCTTGTAAAGAAAAAATATATACAGGGTGAGTCACCCTATCATTGCTATAGATGGTAGGTAGTTTTTGATTTATTAAAAAGAAACTTGACTATTATTATAATAAATAATTCAGAAACATTTTAATGAATACCGATAGTGTATATAAATGAAAATGGTCACGTTGGATATTTCTATGGCTATTGTTTCTCTAATAGACAATACTAAGTTGAAAATTAGTTCATCTATTGTTCGTTTCAGCGAACAGTATCGATGAAACGTTCATATAGTCATTTGCATCAAATGTTTCCTTATCGTTAGTCTTTCATTGGAAATCTGAATAAATTTAACAGTTTGTTAAATCGTTTATCGTGCCAGATAAAACAGTGAAATGAAATTTCCTTCATTTAATCATAAGAATCACTCGAAAGATACTTGAAAGAGGAAGTCGGCGAGGAAGATTGAAACGACAACAATCTGAGGAAATCTTTATGGACGAAACGAAGAAAAGAAGAAAAAAAAAAACGAAGTAAGGTGTACTACGCTTTTATGCTTCAATTGCTTGATTCCGCAACATTTTCTTCTAATTTATTTCGATCTGTCGTGTCGACAAAAAGGAATAAGAAAGAAAAGAAAGGGGAGAAATTGAAACGGTGGAAGCAATTTAGATATTACTTACGTCGAGAGTGGTCCTTTTGCTATCCGAAGAAAACCGGCGAAGAAGTACGAGAAAAGGGTAACAGTGGATGAAAAAAAATAAGACGTGAAAGATGGTGCTCGTCTGGCGAAAAGGAAGAAAATAGAAGGGATGGAGCGGACAGGAAAAGAACGGGGTGGGCTAGAAAGCCGCATAAATGAGAACGCCTGTGAAAACAGAAGGTATTCCGACCAAAGTAAAACGACATCGAAGGAAAAAAAAAAAAAAGACGAATGCATCGTATCGTTTCACTGTCTGAATCCTCCATCATCCCTAAACGTCTGCAATTTCAGCACTTTCACAATTTACCGAATCCTCTCGATCAGCGATCTCTACAAAACCAGGGGGTAATCATTTCAAATATTTCTTTTCTTTATTGAAAGCTTCATAAAAATTAGAGGAAGAAAAACATGGTTAACATTTGTTGCAAGCAATTTGAATATCGCGATGTTTGTTCGCGTTCAATTGCTAAGGGGAAGATTGAAAGACAACACACGAGGGTTGTTCGCCGGAAAGTGGAAAAGAAATGGTCGGGACGTGAATGCGCAAGAGGATATAGAGACACATAGAAAATGAAGATACCGCGTAGAGAACAGAAAAATCTCGGCTCGAAACGTACGAGACAAGAGTAATGTCGTGCTGTCCCGTTAACGCTCGTGAAATATTTGCTCTCGTTGCGAAAAGACAGGAATCTGTCGATGCAGCGATTTACTGGGCTTTAATAAACTAATGTTCCTACCCTCTTTTTCCTTTTCTTTTTTTCAACCTTTCACTTTTCGTTCTTCGCTCAACTGTACGTACAAAATATTGGGTCATCCCTTAAGTTCCCGTCACGTTTCATTTACATTCTACACGAATCGCATCGAATGGCCTACTTCGAAACACTGAAAGCCTGACACGATTCGATGAGATCGCGAGAAATGGCACTGGCGATGATTAAATACCATTTTGTTATTTTTTATTTCAGACACAAGCACTTCTAGCGGTCCCGTGGTGGTTGCACCGGTTGGAAACCAAACGGCTGCAATTGGTCGCGAAGTTGTTTTCTCTTGCAGTGTTCGCAACATTGGAAAATACAAGGTAATTACATGGAAAATAAAAAGCTGACGTGAATTTTGAAAAAGAAAAACACCTCAATTTACATACCACCCTCTTTCGCAATGCCGATTCGGTATAATCTTTTAAAACTTCGAATATCAATTTATTCGGATAAACTTTCAATCTCTATAGTAATGAAAAAAGACCATCTTTATCCCCCGCTGACAATTCAGAAGATATTTATGAAAAATTTTTCTTCGCTCTAATCTGACCGAGAGTCGTCCTCCCACCCGACTTTGGCTATATTTAATAAGTTTTCCGATCAAAATTTCGATATTCCAAAGGAGAAGGATAAAAGGCGTGAAGGTATAGAAAGTATAAAGAAAAGGATAGAGCGTGATCAGAGAGAATGAGAAAGGGGGGAAAGAATTGGAGAGTAAGTAGAGATGGAGGAGACACATTTTCTCTGGCGACAGATTCCACCCTTAAAGTATCCGGCTAGATGAAATATTCGGTCTATAGAAAGCCACTCAAGGCAGCTTGGCAGGCAGGGATGGATTAAGATAAGCCCGGCTCCCCCGTTCGTACCAAATAGTTTCCGAAGATCGTTTTCTAACAGAAAATACTATCCAAACTTATGAACGTTGTTTTATTTCAATAACCGGCTGAGAGAAATTTTTATTCGACCGATGAAAAGATGATAAGAATTTTTCAGCTTCTATAAATTGATTAGATATGATTAGACATTTACGATCACGCGTTAGAATAGAAATAGGAAAATGACAATGGGTCCTTACAGGTTGGATGGCTACGTGCTTCGGACCACACGATTCTGTCGGTTCACACGAGAACGGTAACGCACAATGCACGTATCGCGGTCTCGTACGAAACCGGCGGAAGTTCCGGGTCCGGCGTGGCATCCGCAAACGCCTTCGGTGTGACAGGAAGTAGCCAGCCCACGGAGGAAGTCGTCAACGGCACGTGGCGGCTACACATTCGTCAGTTAAAGGAATCGGATAGAGATTGTTACATGTGTCAAATTAACACCAGCCCGATGATATCTGAACTAGGATGTCTGGATATTCTTGGTAAGAAATTTCATTTCTTTTTCTCACAAGTATCAAAGAGTTAAATTTTGTTAATTTAGAAAATTTCTAGAAACACGATATCGGGATTGCTTTCAATAAATTCGACCGATGTAATCGACTAAATCAACAATGTTAATTTGATGAAGGGTTATCGACGAGGGTGCAAGCCGTTTCCATAATTTCTCACGCAATACAATAGCGTAGAGTTTAAATCGATAGAAATTGTATATGTGCACGGTGTCGCCGATGAAATATATCGTAGTTAGTCGTAGACTGTAATGAATGTTAGTTCCCCGAAGTGACAGAGGGTTAATATAGTCATATAGTAATCGGACGTTTAATCTTTCTGTTCAAACGCGAGCGTAATTTAAATTGCTACGACATTAAAACTTCCGTGACCGAGATAACGTGTAAAGTACGAAAGAAACTTTTGTCCGGAAGTTATATCGTGGTTATTCATTAAATTATTCTTTGCTACGTATATCTTTCTTCTTTTTTTTCGCGAACCTTCGATACTTTAAAGCAACGAAAAAACTTTTTCACCTTATTACCAATCGTTACTTCGCGGAAAACTCGTCGAACTTTGTTAACGCAACTTTTCTCGTTCGAGAAAATATTTTCGATATCATTTTTTTCACATAATTGCTGACTAGATATAAGAAAAAGTCTTCTAGTAAACTTTCGTAAGTCATGAATTTCTTTACGAAGATTAAATACGAAGAGTGTACTTAGGAAAGATAATAATTATCTTCTTACCGTTTTAAAAACATTTGTAATTTCTTCCTAGGTTTCTAACTTTTTACCACGATCCTAAATCGACTCTAATTATACTAACCAAACATTAAAAGCCACCTGTTCCGTAGAGTTTCCCTTGTCAAAGCACCGCTTATAGAAGGTTCTTTTAAAAACTTTACGTCCTTTGCCAACTATAAACTTTTACTTAATTCTTGCCTGACAGAATTAACACTTCTTCCCCTAACGAAGGATCACATTTTGTCTGAATTTCGAAACACTGAATAATGAATGAAAAATAGAAATTCTGAAAGGATGATTAAATACACGATTAATTATCACACGGTCAATTATCGAGGCAATAATTATTTTTCATTTCTGTGAAACAGTACCACCGGATATCGTTTATGGAGGTGATACTAGCGCGGACTTGGCAGTTTCGGAAGGGGACAATGCAACTCTAAGCTGTAGCGCAACCGGAAGACCAACCCCAAGAGTGTCCTGGCGAAGGGAAGACGGAGAACCCATTCTCATAAGGGCCTCTTCTGCCGGTACATAATGACACTATAAAACTCATGGATACCTTCGCGGACAGACTTCTTTCCGTAGAAAGAAAGAAAAAAAAAAAAAAAGAGCAGAGAAACGACGAAGGTTTAATTTCGTTTGCTACCCATTACTTCCTTTGTTCGCCTTTCTGTTGTTCCTTCTTCTGCTTTATTCGCGATAAAGACTGAGCTTTATTACATTGCTTATAACCGGCAATCGTTATTCTGCTTTATGCCGCTAATATCAATAGTAAAATATAAATTATGTTTCGTCGAACTTGGTTCTTTTTTTTCTTCCTTTGAAAGCATGCTTTGTCATATCGAATCGTTTGTTTGCGGTATACTTTGTCCTATTAATATCGAAACCGTGTAAAAGAACATTTAATATCATTTTTCCTTTTTATTTTTACAATAACTCCCGTCGCTGGTTCAGGAGATGCATAGGATTTAAGTGCATAAGTGATTAATTTGCATGCATTATTTGTACGGTACTGTGTTAATTACTTCATGATAGTATTCACGTAGCTCGAAGTTTAACTAGCAGACGGTTCGGTCCCGTAAGTACCAAAGGATATTCGCTATTCACCGCCATGTGACTGTACATTAGTTCGATATTAATAGGGTAATTAGGTGGCACTAATAACCTAGTTACGTCGAAGTCCTCCCTCGTACGAAAAGGAGGACTTACTCGAATAATATGATTATATGTATGAAGGTGCACGTAAGACCACGATTATATACATACTAATGTATACCTGATTTACTGCCGTAACTTTGTATAAATTTTCCGTTCGAAACTAAACCATTTATGCCACCTTAAGTCAAGTTACTGACAAATTCTTCGATAATTTATTTAATGAATTATTTAAAAAAGAAACTTGAATCTTAGAATTAATATTCCTACGATGATAATTTCATAATATCTTTCTGTAGAAATGCAGAAAATTTGTAAAAATACCGTTCCATCTGTCCTTTTTGTACGACACGGATAATAAGGATGGCTTTGCTCGGTTCGTTGGTAATATCGCAAAGTGAAATGCCGGGAAATTTTCAACGCGAACACACAGATTGAACGTAAGAAGATAGTCGAGTAGATATAACGAGGCAGCTCGTTGAAACAAGTTTCACTTCTTGAACTCGAAGACAGGAACATCGGGTGTGCGTGTAAAGAAACAGAGGGATGATAATCCCCTTCATAGTGTCTTGTACGGTGCACACGCGTTCCTAGTGGAACTTAGGAATCGTGTAAGTACATACGGTGTAGAGATCGTAAAACGAACCACCAAGGCTCGCACACTTGTAAGCTCAGACAATGGTGTGCGTTTACGTGTAAGATCGTTTGCACACATACACGTGCACAAGTTGAAAGGGTGAAAGCACGTGGTAGTTTCTCGTGTAGGAGGCTCGAGTTGGCAAAACTTTGGTCGATGTAGTTGCACTGTCTCCCACCTCTCTTTAAATGCGGCTGAACGCTTCGAAACTCCATCGTATTTGTCTTTTTCACTGTAGACGCTCTTCTTTATTACGTGATAGTTAGCGAGAATTTAACTAGCGCTCGATTCATCGCTCGAATAAAAAGACAATCTCTTTGAATTAATAAAATAATTTCCACTTTGTTTTAGGAAGACAAAGAAATTGACAGTAAACGATAGAAATTTGTTGCAAAAATTATTCTCTCGATTGAAATAGAAATAAGAAAAGAAGAAAAATGAAATTTGTTCGTTTGTGTTGTTACTTTCGTTGTAGATACATAAAACCATCGTTCGCCTACAACTCGTATCGCTCCTCTATCTGACAAATTATTCTCTCGATTGAAATAGAAATAAGAAAAGAAGGAAAATGAAATTTGTTCGTTTGTGTTGTTACTTTCGTTGTAGATACATAAAACCACCGTTCGCCTACAACTCGTGTCGCTCCTCTATCTGACAATGATGCTTTTCTTACGAGCTTTGCAAACTCGTTAGCGTTCGCTCACTTAAGGAACTCGTTAGCTACCTAAGTAGTGAATTAAGCATATATCTTCTCGTCTCTTCTTTCGCCTTACGGCGCTGTGTGTTTCGATTTTCTACCTCTCTTTAAACCGTCTACCCTTCTCTACCGTGCAACACGCTTCCGTTTTCCTACTCGACTTTCAAGATAGTTTCTTCGCTCGGATGCATTAGTCTGCGGTTTCGACCCGGTTAAAAGTTCTATCTGGGAATCGTTTAGATCGGAGTTTCACTCTGGCAACTTGTAACATCTTATACCGAGAAATAATGTTCCTTCCATTTCGCGACTTTCCGTTTGTAATCTTTCATATCTGACATCGCGACTTACTGTTGCCGATTTCCTATATTATTTCTATAATCCTTTTTGTTTTGTTTTTTTTACGATTCCCTCGATTCTGGACTCATTATTTAAGATAAATTCATTTATAAAATTATGCGATGCAGAGAGAAAAATGTTTTTCTTTGTACTCAGGTGGTAGCACGTTCGAAAGGCACGAAAGCTACAATGGTTCTCTGCTGCAATTCCATCGTGTTGAGAGGCGACAAATGGGAGCGTATCTGTGCATCGCCAGCAACGACGTGCCGCCTGCCGTTAGCAAGCGAGTGACACTCGCTGTGAATTGTAAGCTCGTTTTCCTCCTAATCCCCTGATTGTATCCGGTAGAAAGGCTTTCGCCACTGACAAAAGACAACCCTACCGTCGCTGACGTAACAACAAGTTCCGTAGTCACGAGACGGATCATTCTGATCACCCAATTTTTAATTGCTTATGTTTCACAAACGAAGATACAGATTGCAAACATTTTCGACCGGCATTGTTACGAAAAACGCTCTAGTTTTAGTATCGTAATAATTGATGAATTTCATATATCGTTGTGATAAACATTTGTTTGAGTACGGAATAATATAGGTTAATACCGAAGGATTTGCATAAATGAGATCGGTATTAATTGTTCGAAAACAATAGATACCGGCCGAGAATTAATTAGTTAATAATGTGATATAGATTTTACAATTTCGTATTGTTATTCGAATGCTGATAATAGGGTATTAACACAGAATACATTATATCTATTTTAAACGTATTAATTGATTTTTTCTTAAAATAATCAGCTATAACATTAGAGCAAATATACATAATACTAATGATTCATTATTATAGATTACATATGAAAATTTCATGTTCGAAGCAGATCTTTTGAGAAAATTAGATATCAATTTTAATTTCTTTTCGATTCTATTTCATACTAATTAATGTGCAATTACTCGAATAGTTGCACCCGTGGTCAAAGCGCCTAATCAGTTATTGGGAGCACCCTTGGGAACGGATGTGCAGCTGGAATGTTACGTGGAGGCATTTCCGAATACAATTAATTATTGGGTAAAAAATCGACGAGGAGCGGAAGATGAAATGTTGCTCGAGGGGTAAGGTTATGTCTTTTTCTTCCATTCGAATATTATGAATATTTGCCGATGATTAACAAATCTTATTGAATAATACAGACTCAAGTACAACGTGCGGGAAGAACGATCCGGGTATAAAGTTTTGATGTGGCTGTTAATCAAAGGATTCACGGAACAGGACGTGGGGAGTTATAAATGCGTCTCGACGAACAGTCTTGGTAAAGCTGATGGCACTTTGAGACTATACGGTAAGCATTTTACATTTTAGAAATAAATGGAGGAAAGGAAAATTCTAAGATAAATAATATATATCGTTTCGTTTCAGAAATTAAAATTAGCTCTGACAGATCATCGCGTGGAAAAGATCACGTATCCATTATCGGTGGTGAGTCATTAATTTTTCATAATTAATTAACGAAAAAATAATCCTAAAGTGATTACTTTGCAAATCCTTTGAAACCATGCAATTTTTATTGGAAATAATTAAGGTGGTCAAGATAGTTATACGATTCTGCTAATTACAGTCGGAATAGAAAGGAAATGATACAAGTTGTTTTTACTGTTCAGGTTTAGCCGAGGCTGCACAAAGTTCAGGTGCAAGTAACAATGTGAGAGGATCGTTTGGATGTAACAAGAAATTATCGCACTGTTTGTCGATGTTTCTCTTCATACCGGTATTGTTTTGGCCACGGTGAAGAAGGTACCCGTTGCTAGTCACCGCTAAACAGAGTGCCGGATAACTTTGTGCCAAAGGACAAGAAAAATAAGTATGAATGTTGTGTATGCATGTGTGTGGGCGCGAACATATCAGAAGAATAAGATCGTAAAGAATAAATAAGAAAGTGTGTTCTTTGTGAGAAGAACGAATTACTTGATTGAATGTGCGAATGGAAAGAAGCGAACCAAGAAAGAAAGAAAAAAAGAAAAAGAAGAATAAATTGAGGGCTCGCGTTCTTCATATCTTCCTACTTCCCTTTCCTACTCCCAACTGCCAAGAAAAAAAAAAAAAAAAACATTTTTAGATCAATGGATGTTGTCAATGTATGCGCCCAGTTAGATCCGCAATTCGTTTTGTTAAAAAGTATCGATCACCGATTGATATGAATCGATGAGAAGACTCACCGTGAGAAAACACAAGACTTGGAGAAAAGAAACGCTGACGCAGCTTGGCCCTAATTATTAATAATGCTTAACAAATCGTCGATAATAATAACTTAACGATCATTTTGTCATTGGTATCAGCATTGCAGACACTTAGACGTCAGGGAACTCGATGTTTCGAAATAAAATTATACGATCGAACAAATATATTGCATATCTGTACCTATGTTCCTTAACCAGAGGGGTGTACGATCCTCTATTCCTAATTTATCATTTTTCTTTTAAAATAATACATTTCAATCCAAATTAGTCACACGATAAAAAAAAGTAATTAATTTCAAAGTTATATTCATCAGCAATAATGAAATTTATGTTACTACTTTATCTTCGCGAATCGTAGCGTTCAGCTCGGTATCGTTTTCTAAAAATGATCCTTTGATAAATGTTTAGACGACGATACCGATTACCAGGTCACACCACGTGGAGGTGGCTACGACTGTGACCCACCCTAACACCTAGTCCCAACCTCCCACCATAACAAGGACCTCGCCTATCAAGCTGTTGCCAACGAGATAACCGAGTATAGACTCTAATTAGCCCGTAGGCTCGCGTAATGGAGGATAGACTTACGGTCACGTCGATCCCCCACATCGATCTTCACATCGATCAATTACAATTTCATTCATTTTTAAAGTTGGCAGCTTAGTATCGTAAAGCGACAATTACACTTCCCTTAACATGCTGAGATATGTAATTGTTTCCTCGGATAGACAGCCGCATCACAATTTGGGCAGCAAATTCTTTACCACAATACCGATAAAGAATTTGCATCATACCTCCATACTAGTCCATACACATAACCCGTTCATAAACATACTGCATGCACATACTCATCTCCTCATATACTTTCGTTCTTAACTCGCTTACAAAAACAAATGAATTCTTCGATGATGTTTTAAATTAACTTAAAAATAATTACGAAGACCCTATGTCGAGATATGTAATTGTTTCCTCGGATAGACAGCCGCATCACAATTTGGGCAGCAAATTCCTTATCACAATACTGATAAAGAATTTGCATCATACTTCCATCCACATAACTCGTTCATAAACATACTGCATGCACATGCTCATCTCCTCACATACTTTCGTTCTTAACTCGCTTACAGTATTTTAAAATCAACTTAAAATTAACTTAAAACAAATGAATTCTTCGATGATCCCTCGATGATCCCTCGATGATGTTTTAAATTACCTTAAAAATAATTCCAAGGACCCTACGGTACTTACTATTCCAATGTTACACTCGTCATAATCAAAAGTGAAAAGGAAAGGAAAATCGAAAAAGAAAGTGAAAACACAAAAGGCGAGAAAGTATCCACCTGTACACGTACTCGCCTACGTAACAACACTTCAACAATAAAATGCTGTAACAGAAAATATGATTATTAACATTATAATCTCAGTAACAATTGAAACGGTAGAATAAGGAAACAGAAAACATAAAACATAATTACCATTGCAACCTCGGAGCTATTTAATAAAAGAAACGAGAATACGAATGTATGACATGAGAAGATAAGATAATACTTACATATGAAATCGAGAAGAAAAGAATAATTTCCTGAAATAAAATAGTGAACCCCCTGAAACTATAAAACCCCCCCAAAACAGACAATATAAAATAAAAATTTCAACAATAAAATGCTGAAATAGAAAATATAATTAACACCACAATTTCGATAACATTTGAAATGAAAAATGCCAAGAACAGAAAACATAGTTACCATTCCAACCTCAGAGCTATTTAACAACAGAAACAAGAATACGAATGTATGATATAATAACATAAGATAATACATATGAAATCGATAAGAAAAGAATAATTTCCTGAAATAAAATAGTGAACCCCCTAAAACTATAAAACCCCCCAAAACAGACAACATAATATAAAAGTTTCAACAATAAAATGTCGAAACAGAAAACAAAATTGCAATTCAAGGAAAAAAAAAAAAAAGAAAAGAACAAATTAGCGAGCATAGTGACAGAATGACTGTCCATCCGAAGATGGAGAGCCATTAGTAGTTCCCCTCTTCTGGGCAAATTTTGCCGGGGCTCTTCAGCACATGGCCACTTCTTTCTTCGGCAATAGCCTCACAAAAATCACTCGCGAAAATTTTACGCTTGCTCAGGCATTCGTAAAAACGAAACACGTAGACGAGCAACAATTCTCTGAATCGTTACGCGCATACGTGCACAATTTTTACAAATGTCCAAGCACAAAATAATTTTAATTTCACTTCACTTCACTTTCACTTTAATACTTCATTTTTGTAATCGGGTCTAGTACCACGACTACGACTTACAAACTAATAAGGCTTGGCCTTGAAAAAATCAAGAGAGAATGCTAAATTAATTAATTAATCAACTAATTAATTTGCATTTTCATTTTTCCTCTTGATTTTTTAATTTCCAACCCCAGATACAAGCTTCTCACGTATTAGAGGAGAATACGAAGAGAAACATGAAAGCTTGCTCTGGCCCTGCCTACTTATAAACTAAACTCAATCACACCAGAAGTAAACTACCTGCCTGCCTATCGCTATATTTAAAAAAGGGCAAAAATCATTCTCACAAAAATTCACTCCACGGTTCTCATACAACCACCCGGGTGCAAAAATGCCTACACCTAGGGAGAACGTCCCGGGACGCCTCCGACACCCGAGTTCAATTCAACTTTCACACTCTAATAAAATCATACCTTTTTGCTGAAATCGACTGACAAATAATAGTGAACATTATGCTAAAGTAATACATTTCATTTTCGTATTCTATTGAATTATCTAATGTAAAAATTTTTCAATTTATTCTTGATAAGTATTTTGTAATGTTATAGTAAGTTAAAATTGTTAATAAACGATACAAATCCCACATCCTAACCACACACACACATGTGGAGCTTATATCGTGGTTCACTATTGATTCACTACTTTTGTCAGTCGCCAAAATGTATTGCACTTAAAACTAAACCTTGTCCACCGCCCTCCACCCACGCGAGTACATCTAAGTACCCGAACGAGCTTTGGGCATAAAAATGAACAAGGCCAAAGGTATTTTCACCTACCAGTTTTCTTCATGTGTGCTGAAATGCCTAAGCTAAAACGTATGATTAGCAAAAACTAAAGATGATATTCTCATTTTATTAAAAGTAAGAATATCGGCGAAATTTCACGGCTCTGATTTAGTATATGGGCTGGCACCCTGCAGGGGGGTGGATTATATAGTCGGATAGCTTGGAGGATGACCGCGAAAGAAAGATAGAGTGATTGAGCGTAAAAGGATACGCGTAACGCGGTGTGAGGTCAGTCGAAGACGAGAGCGAATGGAGAAGATTTTAATAAAAGTGACTCGACTTTGCAAATATAAAGCTTGAAGAGCAAATACAGAAAAGCAACATTGAGCAACTATGACATAAAACATGGTGCACTGTTAATATCAGTTGGCAACGGAGGTTCTTAGGCCCCCTGGACTTGCGCCCGACGCTACATACCATCCACCCCGCCTGGACGTCGTAACGTCAGGACAGGATGCACCCCTTCGCTAAGAGCGCTACCCGCCCGTCCAACACGTTGCATCCAACGGTGTCAGATTGACGGACGCCCATAGTATAGACAAAAGGACTACAGTTTAGAATATGGTAACATATTTTCATATGTTCCGTATTCTAAAGCTGCGCCTGCAAAGGCCTAGTAATGCATGGGTTTATCTCCCATGAGATGGTGTTTCACGGTCTTATGCCGCGGAATCCTTGTAACTAATTTGATTAAATAAATAAAATATTGGATTGAGTTTAAAAACCAAAAGGATTCCCACCGAATACTAATCAGTGCATTGTCATATTTACTCTCGCGTTGGAAATTTTTCGCAACACTAATTAAAAAACAAAATCCTGATCTAAAAACATAACTAGTACATAAACATCTAACAGGCTAATATTTCACTATACTGATGAATGATGAGTGTGAATGATGAGTGTTTAGAGTCGAGAACCGTGAACGTGACAGAATGAATTTGAAGTATGAACGAAGAGCTTTCTACAATGCTTGAAGAGCAAATACTGAAAAGCAAAATAGAGCAACTGTGACGCAAAAACGGTGCACTTCTAATATCAGCTGGCAACGGAGGTTTTCGGGCCCCCTGGACTTACGCCCGACGCTACATACCACCCACCCCGCCTAGGAAAGGATGCACCCCTTCGCTAAGAGCGCTACCCGCCCGTCCAACACGTTGCATCCAACGTGTCAGATTGACGGACGCCCATAGTATAGGCAAAAGGACTGCAGTTTATTAAATGGAACATATGGATGTGCGCCACATTCTAAACTGCGCCTTGAAAGGCCTAGTAATGCATGGTTTTATCTCCCATGAGATGGTTTCACGGTCTTATGCCGCGGAATCCTTGTAACTAATTTGATTAATTAAATAAAACATTGAGTTTAAAAACCAAAAGGATTCCCACTGAATACTAGTAAGTGCATCGTCACAGTTACTCTCGCGCTGGAAATTTTTCGCAACACTAATTAAAATAGAAAATCCTGATCTAGCAACATGACTAAAGGGGAGCTTTAAATTATGCTTGAAGAGCAAATACTGAAAAGCAAAATAGAGCAAATATGACTCAACATTCGTCCACTGCTAATATCAGCTGGCAACGGAGGTTCTTAGGCCCCCTGGACTTGCGCCCGACGCTACATACCACCCACCCCGCCTGTTTAAGGCTCTAGGCCCAGGCAGGGTGCACCCCTTCGCTAAGAGCGCTACCCACCCATCGAACACGTTGCATCCAACGTGTTCGAGTGGTGGACGACCATAGTATAGGCAAAAGGACTTTAAGACAGCTTAGCGTATGGGTTGCAACATACTTAAATGTTCCGTACTCTATGGCTGTGCCTGAAAGGCCTAGTAATGCATGGTTTTATCTCCCATGAGGTGGTGTTCACGGTCTTATGCCGTGGAATCCTTGTAACTAATTTCATCAAATAAAAACCAAAAGGATTCCCACCGAATACTAGTCAGCGTATAGTCATATTTACTCTCGCGTTGGAAATTTTTCGCAACACTAATTAAAATAGAAAATCCTGATCTAGAAACATGACTGGTACATTAACATCTATCTAACGGGGTAGTATTTCACTACACAAGAGTATGCAGGTGGATAAATGATTATGTGATAAGAGTTCGTGAGGCTGAAGTGCAAATGATGAGTGTTTAGGGTCGAGAACCATGAACGTGACAGAATGAATTTCAAGTTCGAAAGGGGAACTTTATACAATGCTTGAAGAGCAAATACTGAAAAGCAAAATTAAGCAACTATGACATAAAACATGGTGCACTGCTAATATCAGTTGGCAACGGAGGTTCTTAGGCCCCCTGGACTTGCGCCCGACGCTACATACCACCCACCCCGCCTGGACGTCGTAACGCCAGGACAGGATGCACCCCTTCGCTAAGAGCGCTACCCGCCCGTCCAACACGTTGCATCCAACGGTGTCAGATTGACGGACGCCCATAGTATAGACAAAAGGACTACAGTTTAGAATATGGTAACATATTTTCATATGTTCCGTATTCTAAAGCTGCGCCTGCAAAGGCCTAGTAATGCATGGGTTTATCTCCCATGAGATGGTGTTTCACGGTTTTATGCCGCGGAATCCTTGTAACTAATTTGATTAAATAAATAAAATATTGGACTGAGTTTAAAAACCAAAAGGATTCCCACCGAATACTAGTCAGTGCATTGTCATATTTACTCTCGCGTTGGAAATTTTTCGCAACACTAACGGGGTAATATTTCACTACACTAGGGTATGCGGGTGGATAAATGATTATGTGATAGAGTTCGTGAGGCTGAAGTGTGAATGATGAGTGTTTAGGGTCGAGAACCGTGAACGTGACAGAATGAATTTCAAGTACGAAAGAAGAGTTATATAGAATGCTTGAAGAGCAAATACTGAAAAGCAAAATAGAGCAACTATGACGCAAAAATGGTGCACTTCTAATATCAGCTGGCAACGGAGGTTTTCGGGCCCCCTGGACTTACGCCCGACGCTACATACCACCCACCCCGCCTAGAACAGGGTGCACCCCTTCGCTAAGAGCGCTACCCGCCCGTCCAACACGTTGCATCCAACGTGTCAGATTGACGGACGCCCATAGTATAGACAAAAGGACTGCAGTTTATTAAATGGAACCTATGGATGGGCGCCACATTCTAAACTGCGCCTTGAAAGGCCTAGTAATGCATGGGTATATCTCCCAGAGATGGTGTTCACGGTCTTATGCCGCGGAATCCTTGTAACTAATTTGATTAACTAATAAAACATTGAGTTTAAAAACCAAAAGGATTCCCACCGAATACTAGTAAGTGCATGGTCATAGTTACTCTCGCGCTGGAAATTTTTCGCAACACTCATTAAAATAGAAAATCCTGATCTAGCAACATCACTAAAGGGGAGCTTTAAATTATGCTTGAAGAGCAAATACTGAAAAGCAAAATTGAGCAAATATGACTCAAACATTCGTCCACTGCTAATATCAGCTGGCAACGGAGGTTCTTAGGCCCCCTGGACTTGCGCCCGACGCTACATACCACCCACCCCGCCTGTTTAAGGCTCTAGGCCCAGGCAGGGTGCACCCCTTCGCTAAGAGCGCTACCCACCCATCGAACACGTTGCATCCAACGTGTTCGAGTGGTGGACGCCCATAGTATAGGCAAAAGGACTTTAAGACAGCTTAGCGTATGGGATGCAACATACTTAAATGTTCCGTACTCTATGGCTGTGCCTGAAAGGCCTAGTAATGCATGGTTTTATCTCCCATGAGGTGGTGTTCACGGTCTTATGCCGCGGAATCCTTGTAACTAATTTTATCAAATAAAAACCAAAAGGATTCCCACTGAATACTAGTCAGTGTATAGTCATATTTACTCTCGCGCCGGAAATTTTTCGCAACACTACTTAAACTTGAAAATTCTAACGGGGTAATATTTACTCTCGCGTTTAAAATTTTTCGCAACACTACTTAAACGTGAAAATCCTAACGGGGTAATATTTACTTTCGCGTTGAAAATTTTTCGCAACACTACTTAAACTTGAAAATCCTAACGGGGTAATATTTTACTACACAACGGTATGCGGGTGGATAAATGATTATGTGATAGAGTTTGTGAGGCTGAAGTGTGAATGATGAGTGTTTAGGATCGAGAATCATGAACGTGACAGAATGAATTTCAATTACGAAAGGTGAACTTTATACAATGCTTGAAGAGCAAATACCGACCCCCCTGGGGGCCAGCCCATATACTAAACTGATGCCAATTTCACGAGTAAAATCGGAAAAACGTTTCAATTTCAAGAGCGATTTCGTTATCAAAGTAAGTAGTTATAATAATTAATAGTATTCATGCTTATTACTTTGATATTGAAATCCGCTCATCGCGAAATAAATTCTTGTACATATAAAAAAGAAAGTGTATTGTGAAGTCGGAGGGTCATCCGACTTCTCTACATTTTTAAATTCGAAATCTATATGTGTATATATGTACAAGAAAACCCTATCCTGAGCTAAGGCATAAAATACACAAAAAAGCAATTTGCACGATTATCATTGTATAAAATGATACAGTGATATTCGTGGGTCACTATGCTCGCTCAAAAAATAAAAATTACAACCAATTCCCGTGTCGCTTCGGACCATTCGTCCTACGACATGATGGGAACCGGAGGAACTTTAAAGCATGCGACTCACCGATCGTTGACTTGCACCGCTGCACTCGCCATGCATTAGTCCATTGCTCTGGTACCATCAAGATTGGGCAGCTTGGTTTTTGGTTCGTCAAAGGTACCCTCAATGGCCAAAGCACTCATCTGAAAACATAAAAATCACGACTCTTGAACGATATACGTTTTCTCTCAATTTATTTCAGTTAATATTTTCAAATTTATTCATGCAAACATGCAATAAATAAGCAATACATTTTCTAATATATAAACTAATTTAAAAATATGCATGCAAAACTACATGGCAATAACGACGTTATAAAACACAGTAATACACATGCAAACACATAAGGAACCACACCATAAAACATTACAAAATAATTGCAAAATTATCTCAAAACTCGGAGCTAATAACACCATAAAATCCCATAAAACATTTGCAAAACTTGTAGTTAACAACACCATAGACCCCAAAAATATTTGCATACACATGTGAGAACACATAGCTAACACAACTATAAAACATTTGTAAAAATATGTCAAATCACATAAATAATAACACCATAAAACCCCATAAAACATTTGCAAACACATAAATAATCACACCATAGAAGCCACTAATAAACCGGTATACACATGCCCAATCACATAAGGGGGTTCACTAGTACACATGTAGATACATGGGGTACTACTCCATAAAATGTGTTAAAAAATCCCAATAGGTATGCACAAGCACGTATTAAAAAACACTAAGCACAAGCACTATCACTTTAAGTAATCCATAAGTGAACACATGCTCTAATAATCCAAGCGTATACTCGTACCTGTCAATGTTTGACAGGTGATGCGCACTCCTCGGCGGCCGCGATAAGACTGACTAGATTTGTCCTCGCTCGAGGTCATAGACTATACCGGTGCCCAATCAACCGTGACGTTCCGCTTAACCGACGCCGCGGTCGGTTCCCTCGACTTAGATTTAATATTATTTTATTAAAATTTATTTAACAATAATTTTTAATTTTACAATTGTTTATTAACTAAATTATTGTTATAACTACTGAAATTAATTTTTTTTTTATCTTTACGAGTGGGTATCTTGTATAATTTTGTTCAATTATTATTATAACAATTTTTTTTCAATATAATTTTTAATTTTACAATTGTTTATTAACTAAATAATTATTTATTAATTGAAATTTGTTATTTTCATAAATTTTATAATTTATTTCGCTAATTTATTATAGATAAAATAGTTATTGAATGATAATCGGAAGTGTAGTGTCCTAACAATATTTTTAATTAAAAATATTTTATATAAATACGCTGCAGATTTGGTCTATTCACGTTTTATTAAAAAAAAATTCATCACATTACACATTATTCGTTATATAATACGAAAAGAAGGTAACACTGCATCAAACAGTGAATATATTATGATATAATTATCTCATAATTTTCAGTTTTTAATTAAACTAAGTTGCATAAACAGAATAATTTCCTCCATTTTTCCGTTGATGATTTTTGAACTTGCATTATATACGAATATTGAACAATAATTAGTAAAATCTAATATTTTAAATTACTATTTACTTAAATTGCCACTTCAATTTTCAATTAACTAATTAGAATTTCAACAATAATGAGAAAATTATATCGTGGGATATGCGTAACCGATCAGTTACGCAATAAATACTAAAAATGAAATACAAATGGTATTTGGTAACTCTTACTAACAATATGTAACATAAACCCTAGTTTAACGTTTCATAATGTAATGCCAGTGTTTCTATGGCACTAAAGTTTAATAAAAATTGGAAGACTGTATAACTGAGACACTATTTGTTGAGTATTTTGTGCATTTTTAAATAGTTCCGTATAACTGCTTATAATATATATTCTAAACACAGAATAAGTTGGAATACCGAAACACAGAAGAGTTAAAAATGTGGCATTAAGAAGTATTAAAAATATTTTCAGTCATGTAAATTTATGATAGGAATTACGAAGAGGGATAAAATTTGTGCTTATCGTTTCTCAAAGTTCATCAGTGAAACGTTCAATGTCCTGCAAATGATCTCCATAATCTGTCGCTTCACTACCTACAAAAGTATCGTGATGTTCCAAAATTTCATCAAACGATAATCTGTTATCGTGATCGTCATCAGATGCAGCAAATAAATGGTCTACTTCGTCACTCGCAATTTCCCTGAAATATTATTGTATGATCATACCGTTTGTTAATTATAACAAATTTTGCTATAAACATTGACTTACTCATTGCTTGGTACTAGCCACGAAAGTATTTCATCTGAATCTAATCTTCCATCACCATTTTTATCATGTTCATAATCAAATTTATCCTTCTCTATTATTAACCACTCTTTATCTTCTGATTTTGCCCTATTGCCAATAAATTCTTGAAAGCTAATATATCCATCTTTATCGGTATCTTTGTCATCTAAAGCTTGTTTCAATAAGAGTGGAAACATTCTAGGTGTTTCTTCAGGATGGGTGTACGCTTTGAATTCTTCTGAATCCAGATAACCATTTTTATCTATATCAGCAGCTTCAAATGTCTCTTCATCATCGCTTATGAGTTTTTCATCTAAAGCTGCATCTTCTGAATCAGTGAGATATGTATCTCGTAGAACCTCATCCCAACTAACTTTACCATCTTCATCGATATCAACATCTTCTAACCGATCCTGAGATTCCTCTGCAGAAAGCATGCTATTCACAAAATAAATTAGTATCCCTAATTTCTGTTCAATGAGTTAACAGTGTTTAAATTATCTGTACCTAAATGAACGTAAGATCCAAGCTTTTAGTTCATTCCTTTCAATGAACTTATCATTATTCAAATCCATTTTTTTCAACAATATTCCTAAACGTCTTTTTGATTCTTGCATTGGAAGTTTATCAAACTCCTGCGCTTCTTTGGCACTTCCTGCAAAAAAATACACGATAAGACAATTTTATAAGCTTACATTAAACTTAACGCTTGATTTATACCCAGAATAGCTTCATGATCAAATTCCTGATGTTCTCCTCCTGTATAATGATTCGCGTCTCGTGGACTGAATGCACCATCATCTGTCCTTTCATGGCTGTTGGGTTTGTTGTGTATATGAGTATGTATATGTGCTGATGCAGCACTTCCAAATGGAAAGAACCCAAAAATTGTAACAATAACGAATAGCGAAATTCTAACACGCATCTTGCGTGTACCCATCGTAAGTTTTGAGAAAAGTCTGAAAACAATAAAGGTAGATAACCTCACAACATGAGAAATTTGACAGATACAGTGATATCGACACAGTATATCATAATGGCCTTATCGACTGTTCGTTGTTACGCATGTCGTCTAATCGTTCTCGAAAATCGATCTTTGATAATTTTCAAATTCACCTTTCTCTGAATCAAGAAGTTTTATTAAAACGTTTATCGTCTGCAGAGATACAATAAATACCATAGAAAATTACAGAAGGTACAGAAGGTTCATTATTTTCACTCACCCCTTGGAAACAGTTAAACTAATTATTATTTTTTCCACATTCTATTATAATCACTTTATGTCAATTTCATTAAGAAAAATCTTGAGATAAAGCTTTACTTTCGGTTCAGAACGTCAATAGTACTCACGTGTTGAAATATTAGAACTTAGTGCGACTTGTTGTGAAAAGAAATGAAAGAAAAAAGAGCTTCGAGTCTGCTTTAGCCACGATCAGTATGTGCGGTCATGATTTTGTTCTCGGGAGAGGGTTCAAAAATAGATTTAACACGCGTACAATTTATTTCTAACTTCCCTAGCCATCCAGCGAAAGAGGAGATGCTCTGAGATGTATCAGAGAACAGTCTTCTTTTTTTAACTTACCATAATAAATAGATAAGTCGATTTGAAACGGATGTTCTTTTATATCATGCTCTACTCAGCATATTTTTTTTTAAAACATCACGATTTCTAGTATAAAGACATAAAATTTTAAACACCAACTTTTTAACTATCTTGAAGAGTAGATAATATGAAATTTAATCTAATCGTATTGATTTTATTCCAATAAAAAAAGATTTTTATCGAAGGCTATCTCAATATACTATAAGTGCTGTTTTATAATACTTTTTTGTCATGAAATCGAGTTAGACTTTTAGATATGAATTTAATATTATTCGTGAATCAACATTCATTTTCAAGACCGGTCTTAAATTTGATAAATTTTGCAAGCACAGCTGGATTACGAACAATGAAACGATGCCACAATAATTATCATAATATTACAATTTTAAACATTTCCTTGATGATCTATTGTTGGAATCGAGCGTCGATAAATTATCCCTGCAGTACGTCTTTTCGGTCGATAAATACACTACGTACCTCTGATCAATAATTCAGGAATTCATTTTATTAGCTGACGATTTTGCATTACCTGCTGTCGTTACCAATACACTTTTCTAACGAAGCTTGCAATTAATTTTGGGTTGCGTGAAAATTTATTCCGTTCTCGTTATGCTTTCCGACGTGTGTTCTTCCTTTTATGATGCTAATTGTCAGAACGTTATTGTTCGCTGGTTTGTAAAATACAGTCGAACGATAAAATTTGTTAAACATCCCCGTTCAGAGAAATATTTCAATGTTCCCCTATACCGTCGCGGATACTATAAAATATCATTTCGATTCACGATCTTCCGCCGTTACCGTATTTTTGCAATTTTAAAAACATCGTGCTTTTGGCTCCTCTGTATTCAATGTATGCTTTATCGCTTTTCATTTGTTAAACTTTTCCGAGGCAAGTTTACGCCTAGCTAAATCATATGGAGATTGGCAAAGGGTGGTTGGTCAGAACTGATTGGCAAGACGGAAACCCGACTGTTTTACATGGTTCTTCGCAATAAAAACTGCTTACGCTTCTTTCTGTATGCTTGTTGACCGAATTCAAGATCAAAGACCAGGGGTCAATTTGATCCTCCGGAGGTTATTTCGCTCCCCGTCAACTACCCCTGCTTTCATCTTTCCAGTAGGGTATTTTCAATCACTGTTTTCATTTTTTGGACTTATTATTTAAATTGATAAGTACTCGGAGTTCTTATAGATCTAATAATAAGCTTTCGCAGCTACTTCTTTAGCTGTGAAGGATGGTAATCACCCCCCGTGAAGAAGGGGAGGAATTTGATATTCGATTGCGTCTAACGAATTCGTCGTCTAGAGTTGCTGAAGAATATTTTCGATTCCATCGGAATATTTCAGCGGGTAGAACGCAGACGCTTGTGATTTTTCTCGCCTGTGTAAAGGGCGACGTCGATTCGAGATCAACCAGCGAAGGAAGGCAATCCTTCTGACATTCAAATGTTCCTAGCACACCGAAAAAAGGATACATAGAGTGGCCGACACCGCCTATTCATCGCTCAAAGGGATCATTTATCAACATATTTGATATGCTCCTGGCCGCGTTAACCCCCGGTCCACCCCCCGACAGAGGAGCTTGCACTTTCCATAGTCGGTCTTCCATAGAAATAATATGCTAATCGCGCGAAGGAGGAGTTTAAAAAGTGCTCCGATAAATTCTCCAGACTTTTTGACGTAATTTCGCCCCTTCGCGCCACCGTTCCTCCCTTCCTTCGTCTACGAAAGATTCTTTTTCCGCGGTTTCCGACGTCTTAAGAGAACTTCGTTTCTCCAGCTCGGTATATCAACCGGCTGAATATATATATATATATTTTTTTTTCTAGGTGAATCCTGAGCGGATGTCGAGACCTGCTTCGCGGGAAAAGGATTGTAAGCTGACTTCCTGTAGACTCTACGAGGGAAATACTGCCTCCAGGATCGTCCGAAATGAAAAGAAAAGAATCTCACAACTTACGCCGATCACTATCGTATCTTTTACAATCATAAATTTGTAGATCAAGCGTGTTAAGACGGCGTAAGTGATTGACGCGAGACGTTAAGATCATTTACAAATCCCCTCATCGGCACTTATGCGTGCGGTGACGCATACACGTATATTTATGCACCCCAAGCCCTATATGCTGCCTGCCCCCATACATACATTGGTCATATTAACCGCAGAGAGGAGTAGCTCGAAGCCAGTTTCGTTTGTTTAAGCCTGCACCGGTGTTAAATCGTTGTCTATTTAACGTGTATTTAGATTGTCATTTGCTAAAAATAAATGGTTTGAAATGAAAAAAAAAAAAAAAAAAAGAAATTTGTTCATTTTTATCCAGTCTCGTTTCGCGTATCATCAACGATGACGTCTACCAAATCCCTCGGTGGACATTCAATTTCGAAACGCCACGTCAGCGGGACACTTTCAAGCATATTGAAGCTGGATACGAAGCCGTTCGGCCATTTGCTTTAATCCCTCTTTTCCATATTTATCTTGGTCGCCTTCATTACGGGCCACTTTCAGAATCTTCGTTCCTTTTCTTCTTTCCCATTTTATCGTTTCGTATCTTCGGGATTACCGGTCTATTCGGCAACGAACGCCGCCGCTGCTATTCGCAGTGAACGCGCAGATTGCTTTTCCTGGTGGGAGAATTTACGAGCGGTGATGATAAACTCTCAGGAAGCATAATCGAATGGCTTTCGTAATCATTTTCATGGGAGGAAGAGGTCGAACGAATCTTGTGCGCGTTCACCGTTCTCTATGCAACGGAATGTTAAAAAGGGAAAAGAATAAAAATGAAATCAGACTTGGTCCCTCGAAGAAAGCATAATGAAAAATATTAAATCATAGGATGCATGCTTTTCGATCGACTTTCCATAAATCCAAATTTCTCTATGTTTATACCTTCCGGTGTTGATCAATGAAAAAATCCTGACAGCTCATAAAATTTTCCCTGCATCATGGAATTCAGTGCGATGCACTCCATAATAATGCTTTATAGATTCAATATCTTCTCCGACATACAATGTGAAGGTAGTTCGAAGGATTGACGCGAAGGGAAAAAATAAAAGTCCAATTTATTTATTTTCCTCGCTCGGAGAATATTTGAAAAAATAGTACAAATAATGTTGACAAATGTGTCGGAGTAACTAAATCAGGAAAAGGGTAGTCGATATTCGTGATTTGCATTCCAGAGTTGGAAGGAGGAAAAACCGAACAGTCGAACGCAAGGATCCGATCGACAGGACATCGAGAAGCTGTTTCGTGTCGCTTCGATTCGAGCAATTTTTCCATCGCGTCTGCCAATGTTTTTTCTAGGGAATACGAGAAATATCGAGATAATTAAAGGAACGTCGCGGCAGGATAACAACGGGAGAGAATCGAGCAGCGCGTTTGTCCGACGTTCAGCGTGCACGTTAAATTATCTATCGCGCAATTATTCATTTATGCTTATTCGCCTTGACACACCCGCGGATCTTGAAATATTACCGGCTTAACCGGACTTTTAATTCTAACGTATTACCATACTTATCGTAGCGTACGAGCGATTCGCCTGTCGTGCGCTTTTTTCTCCGAGGAAATCGTCTCTACTTCGGACTGGGATATAAAAGCATTGTCTTGAACCCTTTCAAATCTACGTACGAACAGGATACGTAGAGAAAATTTACGTTTCGATACAGTTGGATGGGTTAAATAGCTAAATACCGTGCGTCGCCGACCCTCCGGACGAATCCGTCTAAGGGAAAATTCTCCAAGTCTTTCTTTCGTCCGAAAAAGAAGATGGTATCGCTACGGAAAATTTAGAACGAAACAAAAGAGGATGTTCCCAAGAATGCAAAGCCGGGAACTCGGCAACGAGAAGCTGTGTTCCTTTTCCAGAGAGCTTCTACGGTGGTTGGTTCGCCAGTAAGGCATATTTAGTACATAAATCAAAGCTGCGAGTGGCCCTTGCTGGAGGCAACGAGTTTATATGCTAATATAAGGTGGAGCACACTGCGAGTTGAAACGCCATCTTGACTTCCCTCGGAACGTCTTGAGCATTCTCCCCGGAAAATGTACTCGTTGTTACAATACGACTGTTATCCTTTTTCTAATGAAAATATTAGCAAACGTTAAAAGTTTCGTAACTACATAATAATTCGAGTATTTGAAAAGAACGTTCGTATTCTGAGAACTTGAAGAAACTGCATCGTTTTCGAACGGTGAAGTATAGAGACTCGAGTAAAATCCCGAATACATAGAATCTCTATGCAAATGAAAAAGCGTTGTATAGAAACCGCCATCTTGACCGGGATAGAATGGCGCGGGGGTTGGAAACGCTGGTAGAAATATTCCTCGTGGCCGAGATCACCAA